GCGGTTGGAGTATCACACGGCAAATTAAATTTCGCCACTTTCAAATGTATTGGAAATGAGCTAACTCTGTTCCTAATAGAATTTGTCCTTCACAGCCTGTTCGGTGACTAAAAAGAAATGAAAGAAAGAGAAATTATCAAGGCCATTTTAATTGAGCACTTAAAAAGCCCTTTTCCAGTGATATAATGTGATTAGAATACTTCAATCTGTCATTTGCGAGAGCTTTGAAACTCTGTCTCTTTCTTCTCCTCTCTCTCTCGCTCTTTATGCAGAATGAACAGCCGCCCAGATTTCTGTACGTCTCACTCTCACTTTTAAAGAAAAGGACGAAAGGTTTAAAAAATGAACATGATCATCTTTTGAGGCAAAAAATAACTGCGAAAGTAGTTAAAAAAAGAGGGTAAATATGTGGGTTATTGTCATAATGGCTTCCTCTTTTAGATGAATGAAGTCATTTTTTCAATTCTTCTTTTTTTTTGGTCGATCCAATTCTCATAATGGGTGGAATAATACAGTCTTTGAAATCACATTATTGCAGACGCGTCCGTTCTGATATGCCGTTTTCTCCGCTTTACAGTGGAGGGCCACCAGGGGAGGGGTGGAAGTGAATGAGGGGCCCGACCTTCTGACTGGGCTCAGGTCTCCTGGGAAAATCATTTCAAGTGTGGGTCTCAACATATTATAGGTGTGTGTGCTCAGAGACCACCGCTTCCATTGGTAAGGGCTGGAGAAAGAGAGAAAGGGTAAACATGAACTCACAGCAGAGAGAGCTGGTTCTGTCGGCGGATCAGAGCATTCTTCTTGTTGACCAATGTAAACCATTCCTGCATCATGGACTCTTCCTCTTCTTTATTATTGCCTGGAGACACACATACACAAAAAAACTGAGCATGTAAAACCTTATTATAATATTATTGCCATATTGAAAAACATTGCTGTGGTGCAGGGGTTTGATAACTAGGTCTGGGGACCCCCAGTGGGTGGCAAGTAGGTGCTAGAAGGCCTGCTTTCAAAAATAAAATTAAAACACAAATACCTTAAAACAAATGTCAAAATATCTGAAAATATCTTTTAAAAAATACAGAACTCAACATTTTACCATTTCATTCTGGTTTCTAAACACTGGTTAGAAATCATGAGATTAAATCAAAAATTATTTTTGTTTAGCCATCACAAATTCCCACTAATTATTGACATGCTAAATATTATCTTCAAACACCTAGCCAATAATTAGACAATTAGCCAAGTTCCTGCTAGTTACAACAAATCTCCACTTTAAACCGACTTTCTCTGGCACAGATAAATTAAGCACTTTTCTCACACCTCCAATGAGTATAACGTGCATCAAATGAGATTATCTGACAGGCTTTTCTCAACAGCGCAGACTGACACGCACGTTAGGAAGCCATCCAGATGTGTGTTCACTACCTACATATTAGACACTTCACAAGGTACTGCCATTGTCAGTAAAACAGAGATGACTCTGGATTAGAGCAGGATTAATGCAGGCTGGTTACTTTCCTCCGCTTACTGGGATTAAAGCCTCAACTCTGGTTCTTTGTGAAGCCTCAGAGCTTCAGATCCGATGTACATCCAAAAGCACATGTCCTGTGCCCGAGGCCTACATGTGCGGATGCCAAACTTACATAGTCGGAAACAACAGGTGGGGCCCGCCCATTGCTCAAAGGCCATATGTGTGACAGTTAAGAAACTCAATTACTCTTATAATTCTCATGGTAAAAATTAGCTATTAAAATTCAATGACTCACGAGTGAATGTAACTGAATATCTGGAGTGCAATGTACATGCAATGTTTTTGTTTGTCTTTTTAAAGAAATAAAAGTGCCCCTATTATGGAATTTTGAAAAGTACCTTTCATGCAGTGTGTAACAGCTCTAAGTGGATGAAAACATCCTGCAAAGTTTTAAATCTGAAAGTGCACCCGTGTACAGTATAAAGTTATTGTCTCTCAATAGAAAGAGTCGACTCTGAATCATTGAAACGAGTCGTCAACATGAAACATTAGCATATTGCACCTCCACTTGTTGGTCTTTTCAGTTGGTCTGAATGAAAATGCAGATTCATTCTTTGCCACTAGGTGCCGCTTTTGGAGCGGTAAAATAGCTGTTTCCCCAGTAATGCTGTACACAAAGCATCACAAATGCTGCTTTATCAGGCATTACAGGCAAGATGAAATGAAAATGAGACCAATCTGATCAATCACCGCAGATTAGCATCACGCAAAGGAGGGGTTTGGAAAAATTAATCGTTGAGCAAGTAAGGTAAAAATAAATGCATATTATAAGACAATTAAAGTGTTTTTGACTTTGCATGCATGTCAACCTGTTGTCCAAAATATGAACCTTTCATTACCCAGGGGCACTTTAATACTTTTTATTAATTACTTTAATAGTTTTATTCAGCAAGAATGCAATAAATTGATCAAAATTGACAGCAAATATTTAAGTTACAAAAAAATCTAATTCAAATAAATGCTGATAATTCAGCTTTATTAGAGCAAATAATGAATACATTTTAAAACATGTTCAATTACAAACAAGTTATTTTAAATTGTAATACTATTTTACAATATTAGTTTTTGTACTGTAATTTTGATCAAAGAAAATGAGCCGTAGTGAGCATAAGAAACTTCTTTCAAAAACATTAAAAATTCTTAACCACCCCAAACACTTGTTTTAGTTTTAGTAGTTTCATGGCAGAAAGTTAATATCACGAGAGACAAGAATTAACATTTTGTTGGTTTTGTCTGACCAAACGATGCCATCCCAATTCAAAATTTTATTTGACCTCAGAAGGTATCAAAGGAAAGCAGACACTATTGAGTTTGGTACTTTGGGCCGTGGGGTAAACCAGTTAAGTGGGTTCAGGAAGAATGACTCCGATGTCAGTATTCTGAGCATTTTTGTGACACTAATTATGTCTTTGAAGAGGGATGAAAGAGGAGAAACGATGAAAGATCCTTTAAGCTTATGTAATCACATCACCTACTCTATGCTCCTGTGATACCTGTCTGTTCCTGACAGCATCAACAACAGAATTAGCATCTGTACACAAACACGCTCACGCTTTTTACAAATGTGAAGACTTTAAGATCAACTTTTGGAGATCTTAAGATGAGAATTACAGTGTCACACCATTATATAAAAATGTGTATTTGAGTGATCTTGGATGCCCTTGATAGGCATTTAACTTTCTTCAGATAACAGTCAAACACAAAGACAATTATACTTAATATTTACAGTCATATTATACTGTCAAATGAGGTTATTAAACCAAAAAGGTATGAGAAACCATAGTATATTGTGAATATAGTGCAGCAGGGTACTTGCAATTTCTTTAGTCATGACTATATCTGATTATAGCAAGTGTTTTATTGCTTGTTGCCATTTTTAGCAAAATATTATTAAAGAGCATCTTTTGACTGGAAGATATAGTTACTATTTAATAAAAAAATGGGTACAGTGAAATGAAATGGCGAATGTCAGGTGCTACTATATTGTGGATTTGAGCACAACTAGAATGCCTGGGTACAGTGTGATGAAATGGTGAACAGGTGTTTCATGTCATAGATGTTACTATATTGTGAATTTCAGCACAACTAGAATGCCGTACTGACCAATCAGAAGCCAGGACTGGATCTGTTTCAAAAACAAGCAGTATGACAGTGTGTGCGCCTGTCTGTGTGCACATAGCCATTACGAGGACGAGGTGGGGGTGACAAAGGGCAGATCTTCAATAAGAGTCTGATGTGGGAACTTGCGCCTCGGATCTTTTTTCCATCATGCTGTTGCTTGGCACCATGTGACTGTGACGCTGGTCATGTGAGAGAGACAAATCCGCTAGCCACAACAAAGCCAGCGGCAGCCCCCGGTGGGACGACGGCCCTGTCACTCACCCCCACCAAAACTCCCCGGCCCTCCACCAGAGGAGCCGCTCTCATGTCTGCCAGTGCCAGATGTGTGAAATCTCGTATTTGACGACAACACAGAGTAGAAGGGAGGGGAAAAAAAGAGGGGGTCCGGGATTTAGGAATCAAGCCTGGATTATTGTAGTCAACTTTTAAATAGTGCAGCTCGGAAGGGATAAAGTGTGCAGTGACAGGTCATTGTAGCGACGCACAGTCAAATGAAACAAGCAAATAATAAATGGTAATATTAAGCTTGTGTGACATTGTAAGGGAATGACGGATTAGCAGCCGCATCCCGGAGGCCAATGCCTGAGCTTCAGCACTGACAGAGCCCTGACAGCATGAAAGAAGCCCTCGCTTTACCACTAAAACAAATAACACGCACACAAACACACTCTTCCATACGCATTCTACAGTGCCAACATTTAAACTATGACCTTTGATGGGGACGACCCAAATAACTGATGCCCTGAAATTGCAAAAAGAACCAAGTGAAAATAAACAAACAAACTTATATATTTTTTCTTTTTAATTTAGATTTATCTGATTTAAGATCATGTAAATCACCAGCGTTATTTTAGTATCAGTGAGATACTATTATGGTGTTTATTAATATTTTGAATGTTTTAATTTTTGTTTTCCATCTTTATTTTAATTAAGTTTGTTACTTTGTTGTGTGTTTTTGTCATTCTTAGTAGTTAAAAAAAAAAATGTATGGAACATTTTTATTAATTTTATTTCAGTTTTAGTTTTAGATATTATAAAATGTTTTTATATTCAATTTTATTTCAGTTAACAGTTTTTTATTTCAAGTACCAACAATGTTTTTATAATGGTTTTCATTTTAGTTTCAGTTTTAGTTTATTATAATTACCCTCAAGATCACAGTTAAAAATGCCACAACATATACAGTTTACACAGACAATACATTTTACAATTTAAAATAAATGAAAGTATTTCCACACTACTATAGTGTCACAGATATACTCAATGTAGTAAATTTTTAACCCAAAAATATGGAAATTTGATGTCTGGCTGCATCTCTTGGGTGGTTAAACACTTTTGTTTGTGAGTGTGTGTGTGTGTGTGTGTGTATATCTGTACCAAAGTAATACAATATTATATTAAAATGGTTTTGTGCAGTTCTACATAATATAACTAGAAAACTGTTATATTACACAGAAATTGGCATTTGCAAAATACAAATAAGTAAAATTTGCAAATAAATAACACTTTTTAAATTATATAAATACAATATTATATTAAAATGGTTTTGTGCAGTTCTACATAACACAATATAAATAGAAAACTTTTATATTACACATAAATTGGCATTTGTAAAATACTACTAATAATTAAAATTTGCAAATAAATAACACTTTTTAAATTATATAAACAATTGTAATCATTTATCTCTAACATTTCATTAACTTTTTTTTTCCACATGAATTAAAACATTTATTTTCTTCCGAGAACTGAATAAAATCTAACTCAAAATTAATAGAACCTTCTTCTCTAGCCTGGCTGATCTTTCCCAATAGCATTCACTTTGGAATGAAGAAAGGTAGTACAAAACTCAAGAGAGGCCGTCACACAAGCACGAGGGTCCAGGCTCGTCTGGTAGGCCCGAGGGCCTGTGTCCATGGCAGGGTGATCTGGCCTCAATAGCCAAATCAGATTAAGATAGTCATCTCAGCCACTGTTGCATTCAAAACAGATAGCATTAATGAAATCCTCACACATTTCACAATCTGCCCCTCTTTCCTGCTAACATTTACTGATTATTTACGGCTAAAGCACACACACACACACACAGACAAAACAAACCGTAAGTCACCCAAATGTGAAGTTTCATGAATATTTTTAAGTTACATCAGTTAGATATATATATATATATATATATACACCTGTTAAATTACAAATACACCACA